AAATAGCCAATCTTTTTTTAAAAAAAAAAAAACAACTAGATGTCTGGCCTATAAACTTCCGTTGCTGCTCTCTCTCTTTCTGAGCTGATAGAGCTCCTGCCAACATGGTGAACGTTCCTAAGACCCGCCGGACATTCTGCAAGAAATGTGGGAAGCACCAACCCCACAAGGTGACCCAGTACAAGAAGGGCAAGGATTCTTTGTATGCCCAGGGAAAGCGGCGTTATGACAGGAAACAGAGTGGCTATGGTGGTCAGACTAAGCCTATTTTCCACAAAAAGGCTAAAACTACAAAGAAGATCGTGCTGCGACTGGAGTGCATCTAGCCCAACTGCAGATCTAAGAGGACGCTGGCTATTAAGAGGTGCAAGCATTTTGAACTGGGAGGCGACAAGAAGAGAAAGGGCCAAGTGATCCAGTTCTAAGCCAATTTTGTTATGAAGACAGTAAAATCTTGACCTTTCACCCCCTTTGATTGTCTTTGGTGAGGGAATAAATTAAAGCTTTCATAAAAAAAAAACAACCAAGATGTCACAAATAAGGCAAAGAATGCTGTCTTTTCTGTTTTTGCATGTAAAAAAAATATTCTTTTAAAACAACAGGAACACAGAGGGAAAACATTATATCCTTCCAAAAAATCTAAAACAAATGATTCATAATGGAAGGTGATGAAGAAATACAGTCTTCATCACATTGTATATTTTTTCAAACTATCAATTTCATTGATGGATGTTTTTCTATAAAATAAGAAAGTGGGACAATTTTACTTTCTTTATCCTTTGGCATTTTGCTCATTGTTCATGACTTTGGATGACTGGAGACTAAAGAGACCACCCAGTGAGGCCAGACCAGGCAGTCCTCTGCTGTATATGTGTTGGGGGCCTCATATCAGCTGGTGTATGCTGCCTGGTTGGTGGCTCAGTATCTGAGAGATCTCAGGGGTCCCGGTTAGTTGAGACTGCTGGTCTTCCTATGGGGTCACCTTCCTCCTCAGCTTCTTCCAGCTTTTCTCTAATTCAACCACAGAGGTCTCCAACTTCAGTCCAATGGTTGGGTGTAAGTATCTGCCTCTGGGAGAAGACATACCTAACCCTCCAGAGACTTGAGGCCCCAGGTGGGGGTGGGGGTGGGGGTGGGGGGTGTAGGCAGCCTCTTGGTGACAGAGAGGAAGAGGAATGGAATGAGGAACTGTGGAGGGGTGGACCTGGAAGGAGGAAAGATTAGATTGTAAGAAAAAAATAGAAGTCACTAAAAAAAAGAGATCACCCAGAATCAAGTAAAATTTTATCATTTTGGGTGATTTACAGTACATATAAAAAAAACTGGTCAGTTTGTCTTAATGCAATATTTTCCCTTGAAAATCTTCTAAAATAGATTTCTTTAGGTTTCATATCCACTGAAACTACCTCACTTCTTATGACAGAAGTTTCCTCTTATGGGGCCTCAAGAAGTGTCCCTGTGCTAATAAATGTCTATGCAACAAGCCTCTCTGGGATTCAGGAAAATGAACCTCTCTTCCAGTTATAAATTTTATTTTTCTTCCTGAAGAAGACACTTCAAGGTACAACTCAAAACCTTTTAATGGAAAATATGCAAAAGTTGGCTCCCTTCAAAGACTGATTTATTCCTATTCATGAAGGTTCATTTCCTCTTTCATTTTACTGATTACAGTTTTAAGAACCCTTTAGAGAGAAATAATTCTTTTGAAATTACTCTGCACCTTCATTTGTGCACTTGTTGCCCTAATCCGCATTCTTATTACCTTATACTTAAGTTAGTAATATATCCTCCCCAAAGCTCTCATCATTCAGTTCTGCCTTCTAAGTGTTCTTTTAGGGAATTGTAGAGGCAAAGAGTGTTGAATCAGAATCATGCCTCTCCTATTTACTTGCTTTCCTATCTTTAAGAAGTTAATTACTCTTCTTATTTCAATTAAGTAACAGATAAGACAGGCCATACTATCAATTCCCCTACAGTGGGGCATTGAGCCTTCACAGGACCAAAGGCCTTCCCTCCCTTTGATGTCTCACAAGGCCATCCTCTGCTACATATGCAGCTGGAGCCATGGGTCCCTCCATGTGTACTCTTTGGTTGCTGGTTTAGTCCCTGGGTGCTCTGGGGGGGTCTGTTTGGTTGATATTGTTGTTCTTCCTATAGGGTTGCAAATCCCTTCAGCTCCTTTAGTCTTTTCTCTAACTCCTCCATTGGAAACCCCGTGCAAGTCCAACTGCTAGCTGTGAAAAAAAGAAAACAAACCTTAATATCTACTGAGCATCTGGGACTTACTTACTTCTAGAACAGATTCATACAGTGGTCACATGATTTAATAGCAGATTATATGCTATGCTATGTCTTCTACTTACTGAGAACAGAAGTTATAGTTCTAAATCGCATCGCCTTCACTCAGCATTACAAAAAGCTGATAATTATTTTATTTCATTAAAGTATTTGTTGGGTAATTAATTATAAAATAGTTCACAGTGATAGTCTATGAATATACAGACAAAAATCAGAGTGTTTAAGAGATGGTTTATCCAAGAGTTTGTGTTGGCTGGTTCTAATCCAAAAATATTTGAGGTCAAAATTCACTTTTGTGTTGTAGTTTTTACTCAGTAGTTGAGGAAATATTGATGTTAGTTTAAAAGGGTCCATACTATAGCATATTACTCCAAACTACAACTAAACATAAAACAGAAAGTTAGGCTAAGATATAACAATTGAGTCACAAAAATCATTAATCTAAAATGACATACGATAAAAAGATCCCTTTCACTATCAGTAGAGTTGAAACTGGCTCTTTTTAATTTTTTTTTTTCTTAGTAGACTCTGAAAAAGAGGAACATCTATAGCCATAGTAATCAAATCATACTGGCTGCTTAAGAAAAATTGAGATTTTTTCTGATCCTAATTTCAGACAGATTCCCTTAAAAACAAAATAAATGTTAATAAATAATATTCTCAATAATAGCTATTATTACTTATTGAATGCTACTTTTAGAGTACCTAAGAACATTTGAAGTCTAATTGTAAACTTTTCCCAGTGTAGGGAATATATATGATGCAGTAAGTAAAAAGAAAGGAAGCATCCAGGTTGATGGATAAGATGGGACAACTGCCCTAAATTTAGATTATTATGGCTGGGATATTGACACACAGACCACTGACTGGACTCAGCAACTAGTTAGTTATGGATGCTTGTTAAGGTAGCTCTTTTTGCTTGTCTACACATTTATTCCTGCTGGATGACCTACATATTTACATGAATTAAATTGTTTTTGCCTGATCTGTTCCTCCCCTTATTAGAGATGATGATAGTCGAGGCTACTTGAATACAAGAGAGAGGTGAGGTAAGTAGCCATTCTTTCTTCTAGCAACATTAAGACATCTGTGAAATGAATGTGGTATGGGTAACACTGGTCACTTGTCAGGAAAGGTTATTTTTTATCCCTCTATCCCAGGCTTTGGCCTTAAAGTTCAACAGGTCTGGAAGTACATATGCATTTTTCAGAGAAGGATAATACCCTAGAAAACTGGCTCACAACGCTCATACTCGCAAGGGACAGATTTGCATAAGGACGCCAATTTAATAATTTATAGTACAGAAAAGAACTGCCAAATGGACTGAGATGTGTGTTGGCCTGTCAGCTTAGTTTCTTTTCCGTAAGGATGCCAAATCAAAAAACTAAATTAACAACAGATTGGAGCTGGATAAATCTATGCAATCAGAATTAAGTGGAGGACTGCAAGGTCAAGCTTGTTTCATTACATAGTTCAGCCAGGAAGAATACCCTATTTCATTGCCAGTCCTCACAAGTCATGGTCCTATCATCAATCAACACAGGCTCTTAGTTTCTAATGCTAAAACCATTTCTTTTTCATCCCTCAACACCCTTGTGACTTTTTATTGGACATCCCTGAGTACTGGGCCTAGCTCCACCTAGATCTCTAACGGTTCTGGTTTTCTAAGATGCATTTGTTGCAAAATGAGCTGTTGCAGTTCCAGGTTGCCCTCCTACAAAAACGTGGTCTTCCATTTCCTTCTTTCATCAGTCTTATCTGTGAATCAAAATGCTACTCTTTGACCTAACCCACAAGTATTTATGTTTTTCTTCTTTACTATGGTTATTACCCAGAAAGTTCGTTGCAGCTGCAGGCTGCAAATTCTAACTGTGGTTCTTTCACATGCCTGTAGAGGTTTGTACTACTTTGTAAGCCTTGTTTCTCAGAACTTTTCTGAAACTTAGCTGAAAGTGTTGTTTCTAAGTGTGTGGTATTTACTTGCATATTTCTGACGATCCCATAGACATTGTGAAGAATCATTGTGAAGACTCCTATTACACTGGACGAAGATCTACAATCAATCGTGCTTTTCATTTATTCACATGTACATTCTTTGAGAATTTATTTAGTCACCCACTTCCACACTTTTCATTTAAACAACACTTATGGAAATGCTTTGTTTGCAATACAGAAATAATCTAGACGCAGCCTTTGCTCTCAGTGTGGTATAGTTTTCAGTATAGCAAAGGCACAATAAATACACAAAACAAGTACACATTAAAATGTGAATCTAGAAGTGGACTGATGGAGATGATGAGATGAGGATGATCTAGATTGAGTGGAAAGTTTAAACTGAGAGAGTCCTGTTGTTACTTTTGATGTGTATTTTGAAGGTTCCTCAGCATTTGCCTACCAGAATTCAAAGAGCAGCAGCTTTCCAGTTCTTAGGTAAAATTTTTTTTTTATATTTCGCTTACAAGTCTTATCTTGACCCAGAACCTACTGGATTTAATAAGAAAAACATTCGCGTTGTGGTGGAAGGAAATAAGGTGGATAACAGTTAAGAAGGCAAGAATGTATTAGCTGTTTGCGCAGTACAAATGAAATAAAGAAGAAATCACACTTGACTAACGTCATCTGCTCAAGGGACTTACCTTCGTTCTGTGCAAGTAAGGTTTCTGTGGTGAGACATTAATGTGCTCTACTTCCTCTTTCAACACTAATTTTTTTTTCAGTTATCAGCAGGATATGTGCTTGCTGCTCAGAGCTGTACATTTTTACTCCCATCTCTTTGCAAATATACAAGTCTCCTTATCCCAGCTCAGCATCATGGTAAGTTCTAGCTCAGCACCTGTAACTTTGTGGTTCTGTTTGGGAGGATTGGTGGAGACAGGAAGATCAGGACAGCCAGTGTTTTGAATAAGATGGTCTCTGGTTTCTCATCTCAGGATTCTTACAGAGGGAACAAATGTGATTACTTTTGAGTCTAGCCAGAGTTTAAAGTGAAGTATAATGTGATCAGCCTCCATTGTTTCAACAGCAGTATGGAGGATGTGATATAACTAACTGCTTGCTACAGGGAATTTTTCTGTAGAGTTGACAAGGGATAGTGGATGCCACAAAACGTAAGTACAGGGTTGGATTTAGTCTCATTTGGGACAATTTGACATACTTAACCAATAAAACAGGATTTGAACTTGTGTTGTGTATAATTTATCTAGTTACATACAAAAATTTAGGTTTAAGCTCTTAATGATAAGCCTAGCTTACATAGATACTGATACAAATAATATTTTCCTCTAGCATAAAGGAAGAATGTCCGAGGATGTATTTTGGAACTAAAAGGTCTATATAGATAAAAATCCCTTATGATACAGTCAAATTATCTGAGACAGTGAGATGAAGCCACTTAAGAACAGCCAGGTAATGAGTGGCAGAATTACAGCTAGGAACTGAGTCTTAAAACACATGTTCCTTTTCCCTTATCAAAGATTGTGTCTTTCAGAATTAGTATAAAACTACCTATGACCATTTTGATTGTCAGAGTTTGTTCAGAGGTATTCCTTGATTCTTTAACAGTCATTGTTGTTCTAACTTCAATACTTCAAGATAGCAGAGTCCAAATGTGAGACACTTATCTTTTCAGTGAATGCACTTTAGAGTGGAGCTAGCAGTAGTGAGTCAAAAGCTAGCTTCTCTAGGGAGTTCTTCATGGTAGACTGCATGCTTGGATAATTCTAGAATTAGTCTACATACAATGATGTTGACTTCACCCTGTGTTTCAGGAGAAGAGAGAGTCTCAATTTTTAGAATTCTTCAAGTGGGGATATTTTCTGTTTTGTTTGTTTAAATAGATACAGAGAGTCATTTTATATTTACTAATTAGAGAATTTATGCAAAACTAAAATACAGGGTACATGGGTAGGTGATATGCAGATATGTATATGTATATGTATATGTATATGTATATGTATATGTATATGTATAT